TCAGAGAGGGCCTTTCTTTGAGGTATTTGAGATGTTGCTGGGTTGACAATTTTAATTTTGGCAATTAACTGTATTACTATGATATGACAATAGTCAGAAGCTGACACACAGAGACAAATCCATGACATTCCTCAAACGTCACAGCAGGCAATGTAACCTTTAACTAAGCTTCATATTCAACACTCAACCAGGGCAGCAGTGAGATAATGATATAACCTTTTTCTATTGTGTTCTACTGAATATGCCACAAAAATGCAGGTTGGATTGAGTTTGAAGCTGGAATAAGCTGCTGTTAGTCATGTCACCATTGTTACTGGCATGAAGTCTTACCCTAAAAGGAGTGACATTTGAACTGACATTTCAGTCATCAAGGTTCTAAACCGCATATGCATTTACATTCATTAAAAATAAAACAAAAGGAAGCTAGGCAGAACTGTTAGACCGAACAGTGCATCAAGACCAAGTTTCCATCCAATAATTACATACAAGTGTGAGACAGATGTGTGATCCTAAGAGAAATTCACACCTAAACATAAGGAATAAAGTAAGTGTTAGTACTCAAGAATGTATATAAATCGCCCCCAACAAAATGAGTCATAAACCATCTCAAAAGGCAACTGCACAGCAAAAGAGAACACACATGGATATACAAATACATACACACACACTCTGAGGTATTTCTGTATTGGTGCCAATGTGCTCTTAGAAGAGCTGAGCGAATAAAGCTGGGCAATTCAGTTCACCGCCTGGAGGGAATGCAGGCCCTGAGCTCATCAATATCACCATAGTGAATGCTACTGTAGTTTCCCAGCAGCACTGTTGTGTTTAAGATGATTTAAACTGTTAGCAATTTAAACTGTTAGTTGGTTCAAAAGCATACTTTACAATTTTTTAAAGATGGCTTTCGTAATGATGCTTTTGCAAAACAAAAGGGAAAAAAACAGATGCTCTTCTATGATGATAAATGTGATTATTCCATCTCTCCATCTTGTTTGTGTGCCTCTGATTTCAACTACACTGCCATTGTAATGGGAATTTGTTTTCTACAACCCAGCTTGTATAAACACATTCATTAAAATATATGAACAGAACAAAAAAGACACACATTGCAAAAATACCCTGCGCTCTACAGAGACAAATTCACTCCATCACTAAGACAATGAACACCAGAACTGATACTGAACTATAAACAACACCATTATTTACAAGTGTGCATGATAGAATATAATAGTTCTAATGAGAATTCTTTATTCAGGAAATTATTATAACAGTTCTAGTGTATCCCCCTATTTAAACAATTAAAAGCATCTGGTAGAGAATTATGCCTACTGCGGATCAATATAAGTCTATTAGCAGAGTATGATGACTTCTTTTCCTGAGTCTAAATCGATGTCATAAAAACAGAGACAAATTGGATGGCCTGGTATCATGCCATCTAGTGAGTAGCATCACAGACAACCAGAGATAGTTCACACTAGCTTGAAGAATCATGAAACTGGGAAGGATGGGTCTTCACCATACAGCTTGGTCTGGAGCTCAACTTCAAGCAGAACCTCAAGCAGACCTTCTGGGAAGAACTTGACATAGATCTTCTTTACAATGATTCTGATCTGATCAACAATGATCACACGATTTAGTGTCTTAAAGGAATATGACATTGCTGGATACCTTTACACAACATGGCTTGAGTACCCCCATCTCCATGGCACAGTCCATGGAACAGTGTCAAAGCCTCTTTCCTCTAGCCAGCTTACAGATCAACATCAGTGCCTGTCTTGAAAGCACTGGCTGCTCCAACAAAGGGTACACCAAAGCCCTTGGGTTTCTTGACCTGCTTCATCACCATTCTCTACAAGTGAGGTTCACATGAATGTATTCCTTTAGCAGAGGCATGACAGCTGTGCCTATTGCTGGTCCTATTGTGCATCTTAAGTATCTTCTCATGAGGTCACAGTCAAGAGTAATGATGATCCAGACCTCTGAATCTTGCCTCCATTGATACATGTCCTTCAGACTCCACAACCTTGAGAGCAAATTTATCAACCAACATGGACATATTCCCATGGGCTATTTTTTTTTGCCAAAGGACTGAAATGATCCAACACAGATTTCCCCCTCTGGTGTTTACACATGGGTGCATTTGATGGCAAACCACAACCCAAGGTCTTCTGTGGTGATGGGCTCACTGCTGCAACTGGTTTTCCACCAACATTTTGCCAACATCTGCCTCATGTCCTCCAGACTGCTGGTGAAAGCCAACACAGCCATGATCTCCCCAGACTATCATTCAAACTGAGCAATTCTTCTATACCAGTTGTCAGTGGGCGAGTCACAGGAAACTAACACTCATGTCCAACACTCTTTGCCAGATGATGGATTCAAGTTTGATCTCCAGTCTGGCAAATCTCCTAGCTAGCATAATCAAGTAGTAGATTATTAATAGGAATGGAGTATTTTGTCACTGGCTAGTGAGCCATGCCATACCCAAGTACCCACACTGAATTTGATTAGTTTTTCTCATCCACATACCATGTGACCCAAGTCAGGACATACAAATGGTACAGACCTTTGACTGGTCAACTGCAAATGAATGATTCTAATAGTGTCCTTGGACAGAATGCCCTTTCTACCAGAATCTCAAATAATAGTGTAGTTAGTTTCTTCCTATTTTTTTTCTTTTTCTTCTGGCAGCTTTAAGAGGCATGATGACACTTAACTTCTTAACTTCTTTTTACCCACAGTAAGCTTTTCACCCCTTTTTTGTTTCTCCCCAGCCATCTTCAAGTCAGTCCAAATTGTTTACTATTCACTTCTTCTGCTCCCGACATAGAGTATAACCTAATGACCTTGTACAACATACCTAGTGTACTCACCACAAATGTACAACCACATTTTACATATATTTCTATTTCAAATATTTATATTTATCACACTTCTTTGTATTCTGACTACAAATTACAGATGTTTGAGTGTGCATGCATCCATTAAAATAAATTCACTCTCTCATGCTTAATAATTCACTATGTGGGAGACCAAGCATGCAGCAGCACACATATTGTAATGTCAAACAAGATTTATGACTTCTGACTGGTTTTATTTATTTTAAAAAAAAAAAAAAAAAAAAAAAAAAAAAAAAAAAAAAAAAAAAAAAAAAAAATCCATCATAAGAAAAAAAGTAAGTAAATTCAGATAGCATCATCAAGTAATAGATTATTAAGACAGTAGGGTACAAAAGCCAGAGCCCACAATCAGCATCTGACAGGTATGCAATTCGATCTCAGCTGACACGGATCCATGTTTTTAATTAACAATCAGCTAAAACCAGCAAATCCTAGCAAAACACAGCACATTTACTAAGAACAGAAAGTTCATCTAAAAAAAAAAAAAAACCTTTATTACTCTCCTAAAGCTGATCACACCCACACACACACAGATGAATCTATTCCCAACTGTCCTGTTCCATCAAAAAAACGTTAACTCCACTCTCACGACAAAACTCTTGGCCAGAGAAATTCTCTTAATAACAAACTTTTTTTACACGGGCGCTCTGCCAGTGCACCATTACAAGTTTTAATTAGGCGCTTTAAGCTTTTAAGCAGAGGGGTGAAAAAAATAACAGTCATCAAGAAGTGAGCAATGTGCTTCATAAATTCTGATGAAGCAGCAGGAGCTCTTGATTTTTTTATTTTTTTTTTTAAAGGGCTGTGAAATGAGGCTCATTTTTCACGACACAAACAGGGCAAAGCAAGTGGAGGGAGGACAGCCTGAAGATCTTGCCTTCACAGAGCAGAAAGCGTGTGTATGTGTGCGTGTGCGTGTGCGTGTGAGAAATGGAGAGAGATAGAGAGCAAACTGGAAGGAGGAAAGATTTTTACATGCAGGATGAGATGCTTGAGTAAAGACCCTGACCTCTCTTACCATGCATAAGAGGAGTCAGAGGTCATGTGATAGTGGTGTTCAGAACAATAGTTACACAAGAATGGCCTATTAAAGAAGCAGTTTGCAATTTCCAGACACATTCTCTTCGAACCAAAACTTTGACCTTGCCCCCTCTGTTGAATGATTCCAAGGGGAAGTGGAGCTTATATAGAGGCTAGAAAAATGTAGAAAGAGGAAATGAAAGGAAAAAAGTTGATTATCAAGAGTTATTAATGTTATCATTTGTTAGGGGTGTAATGATTTATTGGGTTCTATATAAATCAATTACAAATCCTCCCAATGCAACATCAATGTTATAACAGATAGATAGATAGATAGATAGATAGATAGATAGATAGATAGATAGATAGATAGATAGACATAGACAATAAATAAAATTGGAACATTGTTCAAATATCAGTTTTATACAAATGTTAATAAGAAAATTATTGTACATTTATTTTAAGAAGATATTTATAATATTTGTAAATATTTAATGCATTATGAGCTCATAAAAGTAGACTGAATTGCTGAAATGACTTGTGACTAATTCCCTAAGTTTTCCCAAAGATTCACAACCCAATCATTTATATTTTTTAAAAAGGTTGTTCCCATTTGCAAGGGAATAGTCTTTCTGGAATTAGAGCATGTGTCCTCATAACACAAAGTGTTAATTGAGGTGTGGAGCACATCAGAGTGAGGAACGACACTTTCAGTGCAGGTTAGAATCCTTAATTACAGAGCACAACCCCTCTGACCTGACACTGGCCATGCTGCGATAGCAATTTAATGGCAGTGTAATTCCATCCATCCATCAATTTTCTGTATTGCATAGGGTCACGGGGAGCCTGGGGCCTATCCCAGGAGCCTTGGGGGCACAAGGCGGGGGGACATCCTGGATGGGGTGGCAACCCATCACAGGGCGCATACGCACACACCTTCACACACCCATTCACTCACTATGGACAATTTAGAGATGCCAGTCAGCCTACAACGCAGGTCTTTGGACTCGGAGAGAAAACTGGAGTACCCAGAGGAAACCCCCCGAAGCACGGGGAGAACATGCAAACTCCGCACAGACAAGGCGGAGGCGGGAATCGAACCCCCAACCGCAGAGGTGCGATGCAAATGTACTAACCACTAAGCCACTGTGCCCCTGGCAGTGTCATTTTTATTATTATTTTTCTGAGTAAGTATTGTGTCCTTGTCTATCGTTGCACTGACTGATGTGCATGGTCTCGCAGTCAGAGGGAATTATCTCCTGAAGCTATCTTGGTCCATCATCAGAGATGTGCCTGATGTGGAAACAGAGGAAACGTATGCCCTTTAGCCACATCCCCACCCGCTGCTTTCATCCACCTCTATATGTCCTTCTCTTGTGCCAGGGTGAGAGTGTGTGCGTGCATATATATGGACTATCTATATCTGAGAAATAGAAAGTGTGTGGGAAAGTGTGTGGGGGTTTATATTAATCTCGAGGACTGCATTCTGCTCAGACATCTACCTCATGGAAATAAAAATCATCACCCACACAAGGGAAATGCATTGATAAAATATAATAGAGACTGTAATTAAGAGCCTTGCGATCAATTTGCTTTTGAGCCCAGGTGAATTATTCAATGTAATTTGTCGTTGTAGGTGTGTGTGTGTGAGAGAGAGAGAATGAACAGTTTAAGAAATGCATCAAGAAGAACAAGACTCAGCAAGTCTAGTATTTTGTAGCACACTTCTACCGAATGGTGGTATATGGTTCAGCTTGGCACTGAAAATTAACCATGATACCCCATTTTGTGTGTATTTCCACTTCCAAGTGAGGCATGCCATATCCAAGTATCCGAGCTGGCAAGTACCATGTGAGCTGAGTCAGGATGTGTAGAGCTAAAAATACACACATCATTTTGATGTCTTTGGGTAGAATCCCTTTTCATGTTTTCTTCCATAGTAGTGTAGTTACTGCTTGACAGGGTTTCTTTCCGTTTCTTTTCTGGCAAGTATGCAGGCTATATCTGTGGTGTGATGCATCCCACAATGCAAAACCGTCACTTTAGTGAAGAAAGTAAATTTTTTCATCTAAATGATGCAAGTAAGTAAACAGATCAATAGAGTGATGAATAAATAAAGAGATCGATAAAAACAATGGCAATGTTTCTTATTAATTATTATTATTATATTATAAATATAGTATATACTAATCATTAGTATTAATTAGCATTATATAATATTTCACGCAGTGACATAAATGAATATCTATTTATGCTTAATGTGATATAAGTGGATTGACAGTTGCAAAAGTTTGTATCCCCCTTGTTTTATGGGCTGGAAAATGGTACCTTCACATGTAAGTTATATATTTTCTTATATATTTCATATACTTTATATATTTTACAGTTTATCTAGAAAACAGAATTCCATGTTCACATCATATATATATATATATATATATATATATCATACAGTTTCAAGCACAGCATTTATACACGGTCTTTATTCAACTACAGCTTACAGCTAATGTCTCACACACTCAATGTTTTGGGACAATATATAAACAACATATCTGAAGAACACTGACTGTGTTTTATAATGTAATGGGATTTTAATATCACGAACATCTGTAAAAAGTGCTGAATGTAAATGCTGAGAAACTGTGTCTGTGTGTGTGTGTGTGCATGCGTAAAGTCCATTATATATAGTATATAAGAGTAAATCTTGAAGAAATGGCGTGCATGTGTGCATGTGTGCATGTGTGCGTGTGTGCGTGTTTAATAATAATTTAATGTGAGTATTGAGTAGGAATGTTGTTATACTCTTTGGGAATGCGAAGTGAATTATAAATTGTTTGTATGGCTATATCTCAGAAATACTGTGTGTTTATGACGGTATAGTGTGTATCATGTTCACCATAAATGCCAATAAAGTGTGCTGAATGTGATGTTTGTATGCTATTTAGGTCTGTGGAGCGTCAAAGGAATAATAAATAGGTGTGGGTTTTGACAGGCTTTAGGGCTTTATGTGCATTCAATGCCTGTAGGTGTGTTGCCAGCTTTCTTTGCCTCAACAAAGTGATAGTTGCATGAAATCAGGGCTTGATTATCAGATTATCTGAATCTGTCATTGTCCCTCTAACACGGTCATTACGTCACTGCTGAAAAGAAAAAAAAAGAAAAGAAAAAAAAAACACACCTAATTTAGGCTGAGTTTAACTGTGCTTCCGCACTAATGGCTTTCGATTAATTATCGAACAGGCCAGGCAGAGGAACGTTCTTCCACTGTTAAAAGCCCCCATCAGTCCCGGTGATCACCTTCGTACATTCTAAACATCTGCAGCTAGCCAAAGCAGGCAAAGTAAGCAATCAATAAATCTACTGAATTATAGAGCGGACTTTCAGAGAAGAGCCTCAGCTGCCAAAGGCACCGTGGAGCATCTCACTGCTAAAACAGAGGAGGAGCTGTGCAATCGCTCCAAAGCCCTCTGGCTGAAAGATCCAATCACACTGGCACAGAGGGAGTAGCAGGGAAAGGTGGGCAACAAGGTCAGCCCTGTGGGGCACCTGATTTATTTATCTGCTTACACAGTGATGCAATTCCCTACTCTCAAACTGGTCTTTAGCTTTTTTTTTCCTCAGGGTTGCAACCTAATAGAAAAGTACTGATAAACTCTATAAAGTACACATATGAAGGTCCACATTTGAACATTATGTGCAGTATTGTCTTGACCTTGAAACCATACAAGTCTTCAAATGAAATATTAATATAGCCTCATAGCTTATATAATAAAATATATCTTATAAATTTATAAGTGAATGAGCTATAATGCCATACCAGATCTTAACTATCAATTATCTTAAAGAAGATGTAAGATTTGGAAATTTCACTCTATTACAAGCTACATGAGGAAGAACACTTCTTAATCCGATGGTTTCGAAGGGCAAGTAATACGGCTTTGTCCCAAAATACACTGGACACACTAAATAGGATGCCTAAATATAGTATAATAGGCACCACTTGTATACTGACACAGCAGTGACTATTCATGAGGGTGTAATTATCTGCTATCATCATTGTCATCTCATTAATATAACAGAATTGAACTTTGAGAATTAAAAAAAAAAATGCTGTGCATTTAACGTGACGCTTGTTTTTGTTAGCTAGCATGCCAACATGTAACAGTCATCTAGGTCATGGGGCATAACACTAACCAGAACACAACACTTTGTTGAAGAGGAAAATCTTTTCTATGTTAAGGACAAAACACTACTGGATTAAGAACTTGACTTCTGCACAACAGTTTAATAGTTACAGTTTATTATGTTTTCGCCATTTTTAAAAATGTACTTATTATGTTTCCCAAAAAGTTTTTAAATCAGTCTGATCAGTGAGTTCTTTCGGTTCTGCTGCTTAGTTGTAAAAATAATTGGCTCCTTTTGCAGCCAAAAATCGATCTCTAAGTGGAGAAGAGTGCAAAAGCAACCATTAGTTGCTCACACTGAATTTTATACCATAAACTTACCAAAGCAAGGGGATACAAGTTTCATTTTCTTCAGACATGTACAATACTGTGCAGAAGTCTGAGGCATGTGCTTAAGCAAATACTGCAGAAGATGCTTTTAAAAATACAGACTTCAGGCAGTCATTGACTGCAAAGGATTTTCATCCAAGTATTAAAATTATGGTTATATTTACAATTATGTCACTTTGCCCAAATACCTTCGAGCCCCTGAAAATGGAGGCACTTTATTGAAAATGGCTGTAATTCCTAAATGGTGAATGACATATTTTTGTGGAGCCTCTTAAAATAAAGCTGAAAGTCTACACTTTGATCACATCTTGATTGTTTTATTTCAAATCCATTGTGGTGGTGTATAAAGCCAAATATCACAAAAACTCTGTCATTGTCCAAATACTTCCGGACCTGACTGTATGTGTCTGTGTGTGTCTGTGTGTGTGTGTCTGTGTGTGTGTGTGTGTGTGTGTGTGTGTATATATATATATGACACACAGTAGTGTGCAAAAGTCTTAGGCACACGCAAAGAAATGCTGTAGAGCAAAGATGCCTCCAAAAATTATGAAATTAAATGTTTCTACATTAAATAAATATTATAAAGAGCAGTAAACAGTAATAAATGAAAAAGTCAATATTAGGTGTCATAAAAAAGTAGTTTAAAAAATAATAGTAGTCTCAGGTACAATTAGTGCAGTTTTATAAGGAAATGAGCTGTAAGTGTTACTGAGCATCTTGCAGAAGCAGCCGCAGTTCTTCTGGAGACTTTGACTGTCGACTCGCTTCTTATTTCTGCAGCAAAACCCAGCAGCCTTCATTACGTTTTTTTGTCTGAAAAGTGTCTCTTATGGAATCTGCCGCTTTCTTTACTGACATACAAACATTTTTCTGTAGCATTTAATGTTTGGAAATCTAAAAAGTTTTGTACTGAATCAATAATGCAGAAGTCATAAAATAAAAATCTATAACTAAGTTTGCCCATTTTTCCTGCTTCCAATACATCAACTTCAAGAACTGACTGTTCACTTGCTGCCTAATATATCTTTGACTGGTGCCACTGTAACGAGATGATCAGTGTTATCACGTCACCTGTCAGTGGTTTTAATGTTATGAATTTAATGTTATGATCACTATATATATATATATATATATATATATATATATATATATATAAAATGAAGAAGTAAACAGTAATAAACTATTAATATGCTAAGTCAATATTAATGTAAGTCAGTGTAAGTTCAGTCATCCTTAGCTTTTTTGTCTGAAATGTGGTCTGTTTTGCTTTCTTTACTGAGATTCACAAATTCATCTGTAACATTTAATTTAATCAACATTTAATAAATGTTTTTTGTACTGACAATAACATTCTATAGTCATAACATCTATAAGAAAATTTGTAGTAAAAGAAATGTGTATGCATTTATTATTGGCTTTTGCTTTATTGGCTTGTATGCGCTATAACCTTTCAGTCATTATATTAGTCGCTCCAGCTCACAATGCACATCACTTTTTTTTTTTTTCATTTTATATGGTCTCCAGGATTCCTGAAAAGCCATGATGAAGATGAGTTTGCCACAGGATTATTTCCATCTGTCTGCCTTTCAGTTTCTCTTTCTGTCCATCTTTGAGTTCTCCGTGTCTTTCTCTCTCCCTG